ACCGGTCGGCGGCGGCGGGCGGCGGGAGGGGAGGGGGGGGGCCGATGAAGCCCGCGCGCGCGATGGAGGCGACCGAGGCCGTGATGCGCGCGATGGCCGGCGAGCAGCGAAGCGACATCGTCGCCGTGATGGAGGCCGCCCTGCGCTTCCGCCTCGAGCTTGAGGGGCACGCGGGAGACCTCCCCGCGGTGCACCGCTGGTGCGCCCAACACCACCTCAGCTTCGAGAAGCTCCAGGCCATCGGCGAGCTCGAGCAGCACATCAAGTTCGAGCTCGCGGACTTTATGCCCTTCCGCGATATCCACGACCCCAGCGGGCTGCTCGAGCAGCTCGAGAAGCTCGCGCCGATGGTCGTCGTCATGACCAGCGTCGCCTTCGTCGCGCAGGCCTTGGAGGTCCGAAGCGAGGGAAACGCCTACACGAACTCGCAGGAAATGGCGCTCGGGCTCTTCAGCGACCTCTCCGCGACCCCCGACATCCACTCCCCGAGCTGCCTGCGCTGGAAGGAGGAGGATATCATCATCCCGATCCAGCTGAACCTCTTTTTCGACAAGCTCCTCGCGAGCTTCTCGACGGCGATCGCCTCGCCGAAGCAGTTCTGGATGTCCCTCCTGCTCTTTTCCAACCGACTGCACTACGCCACCTTCAGCGACCACGACGGCACGTTTCACGTCTTCAAAGTGTTGTATTGCGGTCGCGAGCGCTTCGTCGAGCTCGACGGCATCGCCGGCTACGTCGTGATCGAGTTCCGTCGTAAGTTATGTAATATCTTCAAAATCCTCCGCCTGACGTGGGAGCATAAGGACATGTTCGACGACGAGCTCGAGCAGCTGCTCACGGCGCATAATTTAAAGCCCCTCCAGGAGACCCAGCGGGAGATCATCACCGCGCTGGTGTCGATTTTTAAAAATTTGGATAGCATCACCGCTGACGAGGTCGAGCACAACGGGGATGACCTCGATAGTGTTTCTTTCTTGTCATTTAGCTCGTCAAAGGTCACGTCATGAGTTCACACACACACACACACACATACATACACACAAAGACACCCATTAAAAAAAAAAAAAAAAGAAAGAAGAAGGAAGACGTGGTGGACGCTCAAAGCTTGTTTTCAAGCGAAAAGAGGATCCCATTCCCCTCTCCCCCTATCTCCCCTTTAGTTCTTCCTCTCTCCTTCTTTCCCCCTCCTCCCTGCTGATGTAGCGAGACCAAATGTGCTTAGGGATAATATTTTTACATTGGTTCGACACGGCTATTACATTTGATGTTTTTTATAGTGCTATCCGCGCAAACACTTGAATAAAAGTGGTGTTAAAGAATTATAGAGTGAGACTACATGAAGAGACTTAAAAGGGAAAAGAAAAATAAAAGCGACGAATTAATGCATTTACGATACATTTTTTTTTCGCACCGATTTATATCCATTTAATATAAGAGTTGACCGATTTTTTATTGCTTTTTTTCAGTGCTAGCGACTTCTTCATTATCTTTTTTTTTCGAATTGACTCTTTTTGATGAGTGAAAAGTCTATTGCTGGGGGGTTATATATATATACATATATAAATATATAAATATTATGAGGAATCCAATTCCTCTTTGGTGATGAATATTACTCGATAGATTCAAATGATGTAGTCTGCTTCAGAGGCCTTTCCCCTAGAGTAGCTAAATAAAGCGAATAGATAGTTTTTAGCCCAACGATTGCAATGCAAAAGCCAACTGCGGCGGCTGCCCAAAAGTTTTAGACTATTGCGGAAGAGTACAGATAGTTGTAGTTTTTGAGGATTCTTTTCTCTATTGTTGGGGAATAGGTTGAAAACACACAAATCTTTTCCAAATCCAAACACCGTGAGGTGGAGTTGGATGCGATGTGTCTGTCTGATGTTCACACGCAAATACGCTTGACCATAGAAGCGTAAAAGACCCTTAAAGATCTGCTAAGGCGAATTTCAAACTTTATATTTCGCTTGAACCTACACGTGCCCGAGGCACCAAAGGATATTCTGAAGTGCTACCAGAAGGAGTTTGAGCAGTTGCGCAATACACCAAACAGGAAGAATCTAAAATTCACCACTTAACGCAGTCTGCAAGCAGCGGGAGAAGACCTTTTAAATTCAGACACGTTAGGGTTTAAGCTGAAGCACGCCAAGCGGGTCTTAATATATCAGGAAGGAGGATTATTTGATATTCCGGAGAGGGGGGGGGAGGCAGGGGAGCATGTTTTAAAGTCATTCTTGAGCGCGTGTTTACTCCGCACCAACGATTACCAGATCATATGTTAAATTAAGCAAAGTGATCTACAATGTTTGATGGTAGATTTGGAGAAAACAAAGCGATTTTTAGAGGATATTCTGAAGGCGTGTGGTCATGTCGTGGAGGCCGTGTTAAAAGCCCGTGAGGAGGTCATTCGTTGCGAGCAAGCTATTACAAAAGCGAAGAATATGGTGGACCCGATTCTGATCCGAAATATTGAACTGACGGAAACGAGTGAATGTCTCACACATGCGCTGCGTTATTTAATGCGGTACTCGGGTGGTACGAGGAAGGAGGTGAACACTCCCGTCCGCCCGAGGAATTTCGATGTCCTGATTCCTTTGGATGTCGCCACCTCGGAATCCAAACTAACGAACAGACTCACATGTTGGATAAGCAAAAAATGCCATTTTTTGTTTGTTTGTACGTCTCAATCCTTTATTGTATAGTCTTTGTGCAACAGAACTGTCGTTTATTTATTACTGGTATTGTTACTATGAGCACTGGTATTGTTACTATGCGTACTGCTATTGTTACTATGTGTACTACTATTGTTATGTGTTTCTGTTTTCCAATTCACCTGATACACACTTGTGTGTTTTAACCAAACTGTAATAATCTTTTGTGACATCTCCCCTTGTATGTTTTTACGCCTCATAGCATATTTAGTGTTACACCATGAATTTTTACCACCCACACGGAGAGAGCGACGCACCGGAGGCCCTTCTTCCTTCCTCTGCTTCATCCGAGGCGTATGTTGACGAGGAGGCTCCAGAGGAGATAGAGGAGGGCGACGACGAGCAGGCGGTGGATTACCCTCTGCCTCCCCTTCCACCCGTTCCCGCCCCCACTCACGTCAACGGCATTCCCGCCAAGGAGGTCTATAGCATCCTTAGGGAGCTCCGACGCCAGATCGATGACCCGCTCGAAAAGGACCGCGCCAAGGCCATGCTGCAAAGCGACCCCAACGTCCTTTTGGCCGTCGCGCAGGTCCTGCAAGAGGCCGACCTCCTCCAGCGAAGCCACGTGGATGATCAGGGCAACGTCGTCCAGCAGCGTGTCCCACACCCGGAGGCCCCGATGCCGATGCTGCCCCCTGGATACACGAGCTGGATTGTGGAACAAGGCGGTCCTTATAATCGAGGCCGCATCTAACAAACGACATTCACCGAACGGCACGGCTTTGCGGTGCAGGCTAGGTAAGGCGGATGCGTACGTCTCTTTTGGTGATGTTTTTTCTTATTGTTGTTGTTGTTGCTTTTAATTGTAGAGTTGTCTAAATGACTTCATGTTTCATCAGAAAACATTTTAAAGCGAAAAGTCCTTTCATATTATATATTTCTGAGAAGGACTAGTTAATCTGTATTTTTATGATTATTGAGATTCAATAAATTTGATCATCGGCTCGAAATGGCAACTCAAGTTGTCTTTCTTGTTATTACTCTTCAAAAATTCCAATTCACCACGTGAATTATTCAAAGAAATTTTTATCAACATACTATAAAAAGATATCCAAATTTTTATTTAGGTTTTAATATAATTTCCACTTCTGTGGTTTTATACACGTTTTATTTGATGCAATGTCGGATGAAGAAATCGAACTTTTAGATCGGTATATACTTACACCGGATAAGGAACAATTCTTTTCTTCGGTAACCCATGGCTCAGACACCTTTAAAAACTTACAGTTGCTCTACCATGTCAATCGAGATGGTCTCAAGCTGCCAACTGAATCAAAGAATGCTCTGGAAAGGATGATGAATGACTCGTCTGGATCCAAACCACATGCTTGTTTTGTGTACGAACTTCTCCTCCTCGAGAATGAAACCAATACTGCTAAACGTGCGACGTTGTTGAGTCATTTTAACAAAAAATATTTGAAAAAGACGTTTTCCATCCCAGGACCATCCGTTATGGACCAAAGCACAGCGTGGTTGGCCAAGATGGAGCTTTCGTGCCCCTCTGAGCTGATATGCGATCGTTATAGTTTTGAAGAATGCGAAAAAAGTTTGTCTACGCATCAAGGCAGATATGTGAAGGATATTAAGCAGCAGTACTACTACCGTCTGGATCTGAAGAAGCTTCTAGTGGTGGTAGAGAGGGATTTGAGCGATTTTCAATGGGTGCTGGATTGTTTGCCCAGCTTCACCCACGTCCCCTCCATCGGCAGTGTCCTGCTTGGATACGAGGCCAAGGCCAAGAAACTTCACAAGTCCGATAGTTATTACCTCAACCTCACCGAGCCGACCTACCAAAAGATGACGTTGAATCAAATGGAGGAGGTTCAGCAAGCGCTTCCCCGCGTGATTCACGACCGGTATTTTGTCGCCACCAAATTCCGCAAAGTCTTCGAGCGCGAGCTCTTTGACCTCCAGGGCGAACGCAATATCGCCCTGTCGGATGATCTCGAGCGGTACTGTCAGACATTGCGAAAGATGTACGATTGGGTTCGCGAGCTCCCCCAGACCCCGCCCTATCGTTCGTTTGCCGCGCAGGTCCTTCGCACGATGATGGAGCTTGATTTAAAGCGCAATGTGGTGGATGAAGGCCTCTTCCGGGAATATTTGTCGAAGCCGCTCCGATTGGACCGGGCGGTCTACGGCGCGCGGGAGGCGGCCGGGGGGGCGTCGGAGGTCCCCCTGAAAGATCAGAAGGACCCCGGCGAAGATGTCTTTTGGTTTGACGTCCACCACCTCCACTTCCGCCGCTGGAAGGCGGAGCGGGACTTCCTCACGCGGGCCCTGACCGTCTTGTTCACGCGGGGGGTCGAGTACGGCCCGTTTGCCGCCTTTGTGGACCCGACGTTCCTGCAAACGCACTATTACAAAACACAATTGCTGGCGGGGCGGCCGGTGCAGAACGCGGCGGGGCTTCTCGGCGAGGCCGCGCTCGCGGCGCTGCGCGAGGAGAAGCATCTTCGCTTCGCGGCGTGGAATAAGCAGCGGTTTCACCCAGACGAGCCCATCAATCTCCATTTGGAGGTCAAGAACATCGGCATCGTGTCCGTGAACATCTTTGAAATCGACGCCGAGAACTACTACCGCAAAAATCTGAAGGAGATCAGCGAATATATTGATTTAACGGGACTTATCCCGAATAAAAGCTTCGATCGCGTCTTGACGGCCGACCCGCTGAGGCTGCAGACGATTCTTTTCGAAAATCTTTTCGTGGCGACGCGCGGGGTGTACGTGGTGGATTTTGTCGGGGACGGCCTCAGCAGCCGCGCGCTCATCCGCGTGGGGGCCCTCACCGTCGTCCGGCAGCTTCTCAGCAAAGGCGTTTTACTCCACATCGTGGATGAGCAAAAAAACATCTGCCGGGGCGGCGCCACCGCCATTATTGTGGATAATCGCGCGTTGAAGCCCGCGGAGATATTACATGGCGGGATTCTCGTTCCCTTTGGCGAGCACCCGGTGGACAAGACGATGGTGCTTCTGCACGACGGCTTCGCCGAGCTCCATCCGCTTCACATCCCTGGCGAGGAGGTGGTGTTGACCTGTTCTTTTTTGCTGAATGAGGAGGACATCAAGCGAAAAGGGCCGATGGAGTTGGTTTTGATGCCGAAGGTGACGGTGAACGGGGAGAAAGTCGGGCTCGTGAGTCTGAAAAACGTCAACTTGACGATCACCTCCACGAGCACGTCCGGGGTGAACAGCCGAACCACCTACGAGGAGGTGACGGTTGACAAAAACGGCAAAGGTGTTGTTTTGGAGTACTGCGTGAAATCGAAGACGGAAAGTCTGACGATGGAGTTGAAAGCCAAGTTTTTTTCCACGTCGAAGGGGAAGCATATCGACCTCTCATGCGAGGAACGAGTTGGGGTGAACCGGTTTATCGGGCAGAACCTCTTTCACGACCTGTATCTCTCGCCGTGCGGGGAGAAGGACCTGAAGGTGCACCTTCTCGGCAAAAACGGCGAGCCGTGCGCGCACAAGCGGCTGAAAATCGATCTCCAGTCGATGTATCTCACGGAGAAGGTCCAACCGTCGGAGATTCTTGAGACCAACGACGCGGGCGAGGTCCTTTTGACCAACGCCATCCCCCACATCGGGGGCCTTCGGGCGGAGACGCTCGACGCCCCGTACGGCGTGGGGCGAACGATGGAGTGCCGTTTAACGAATGTGGACCGCCTGACGTCCCTCCGCCGGGCCTACCATATTCTGAAAAAGGATCAATTGAGCTTTCCCGCCGCCTCCCTGCCTTTTATCGTGAGCGACTACGAACTGGTTAAGGTCTCCCGCGAGGACACCTCCTGCGTGATTGCGGATTGCTCGGCGCGGTTGACGTACGCGGCGGGGATGGTCGCGCTGGGGGACCTCGCGGAGGGCGTTTATCGCTTTTCCTACCGAACCGACGGCCTGTCCATCCTCATCACCGTCCACGCCGGGAAGCGCTGGGCCGCCTCGACGCGGGACTTCGTCGAGGAGGAAAAGCGCCTGGTCAAACTGTCCGATCCCGGCCCATGTTTATCCTACGCGGACGTCAAACTCCAGGACGGCGTGGTGGACTTCCAGGTGGTGAGTTCGGACCTGAATTCGGTGGAGGTGCACGCCCTTGCCTTTGTGTATTTCCCCCGCAGCCTTCCCGTCATGCGCGAGGCCCTGGCGAGGCTGCGGGCGCACGAGGGCTCCGACGTTTATGAACTTCGCGATCATACGTGTGTGTATATGTCCGACAAGAAACTCTCCGACGAGTTCAAGTACGTCTTGGAGCGGAAGCGGAAGCGCCATATCGTCTGCAGCACCCTCGAGAAGCCGCCGGGCCTCCTCCATCGACATTTCGTGCGCGAGACCCACGAGGTCGACGAGGTTCTGCGCGGCGAGGAGGACTACACGGAGGTCTCCAAAACCCGCAACGCCGCCCCCTACGCCGCGCGGAAGACCCTCGGCGGCCCGGCCAACGGCCCTCTCGGGGCGGAGCCGCCGGCCCCGGGGGAGGCCGGGCGACTCCCGGCCGGCCCGTACGCGGTGGATTATTTGAGCGGCTTTCTCCCCGCGGCGGGGTGGGCGCGCTTCGACATCGCGCCGGACGGGGAGGGCCGCGTGCGGTTCGCCGTCCCGCCGGACCAGGGCTACTCCACGCTGGTCATCGTCGTGAAGGACCAAAAGAGCGGGTTCATCGACTGGCGCCCGCTGCCCCCGGGGCAGGCCCCCGCCTTCCGGGACAAACGCCTCGCCAAATCGAAGGAGAACGGCGTCGCCTACGTGCAGGCGCGCCGGGCCTACTGCCTGGCAAAAGGCGGCGCGGTCGAGATCGGCGACTCCGACGCGACCGATTTCAACGTGATCGACAGCCTGGCCGCGCTGTTTAACCACCTCCGCCTGATCAACCCCGACCCGGCGATGGCGGAGTGGGAATTCCTGACCAAGTGGCAGGACTTGGGCCCCCGCGCGCAGCTCGAGAAGTACGATAAATACGCCTGCCACGAGCTGAACATCTTTGTCTATTTCAAAGACCCGGAGTTCTTCCACGCCGTCGTGCGGCCGCACCTCCGCAGTAAATCCCAAAAGCACCTCATCGACTACTTTCTCCTGGGCGATGTCGAGGCCCTCGCCCGCTTTCTCTCGCCCACGCGGTTGGACCTTCTGAATGTGCTGGAGCGGGTGTTGTTGGTGCGGTTTTTCGCGAAGGAGCGGGGGGCCGAGTGCGGGGCTATCGCCGCGGATGTGGTCCATCGCGTGGCGTCCCAGGAGCCGGACCAGAAGCTTTATGAGCGGCTTTTCGACATGGTCGTGATGGGCGGCGTCACGATCGAGGAGGAGGCGGCGAAAAAGCGCGACTCCGCCCCCTCCAACGAGTCGACCGTCAACCTCAATGGGGCGAAGACGGAGGTCTCCCATCGAAACTCGTGCAATTCGTTGTTGACGCGGAATAAATTGTTGGCGCTCAAGCGCCATTCGTCGCGATCGTTCTCCGTGAATTCCGAGACCGGGGGGGCGGTGGTCGCCCCCGATGCCTACGAGGAGGCGGTGGACCGCCTCGAGGCGGAGTTGGGCCCGCGGATCATGAAATACCGCAATGTCGGCACCACCAACGAATACGTTGAAAAGCAGTACCTCGGGGGGGATCTTTTCGATGCCGCGCCGAACGCCTTCTGGGCCGATGTCCTACGCCATTTTATCGACCCCGCGGCCGGGGGGGGGTTTCTGTCCGAAAACTTCATCTACGCGGCGCGCAGCCCGACGGAGATGTTGTTGGTGCTGGCCTTAATCGACGTCCCTTTCGCGAAGAGCGGGCACCAACCCAACAGCACTTCTCAGAAGCAGACGCTCACGGTCGCGTGCAATGCGATGGTCTTCACCAAGGCCATCCAGAAAAAAACAAACGTGGAGTCCGGCTTTGATCTTCTGATGACCCAAAAGTTTTGCGATCCGAACGATTTGTACACGTTCGCCTCGGATGGGATGAAAACGCTGAAAAATGTCGAGGAATTCATCGTGGGGAAATTGTACGAGTCGAAGGTGGTGTTGACGAACGCCTCGGAGCTGAGTTTGCCGCTCTGCGTGGTGCACGAGGTCCCGCAAGGGGCCATTCCCGTTGCCAGCTCGGACTACACGCAATATCTTAACCTCCATTTGGAGCCCCTTTCTACGCAAATTCTGAAATTTCTCTTTTATTTCCCGAAAACCGGCGAGTTTACTTGCTATCCCGCCACGGCGAACCGGAACGGACACCTGATAAGCAAAGCGTCCATCCGGGACTTCTTTAAGGTGTTTCGTTCCCAGACCGTTGTCAAGAAAGATACCATCAGTAATGTGATCAGCAACGGCAGCAAGGCGGACATTTTGTCCTTTATGGAAAACCATAATCTCCACCAGGCCGATCGCTTTCAGTTTCGCGCCATTTACTGGCTGTTGAATAATAAGCAGTTCTACACCGACGTCATCGCGCTTTTGCGGCGAAAGCTCGTCTTTGATGATATGGTGTGGAGCTTCTCGATCAAACACGGCGATTTCGAGACGTTTGCGGAATATTTGCAGCTGTATCTCACCAAGTACGACTTCGGCTTGGCCGTGACGGATGCGATTCAGGGGCCGTTGTATTATATTTCGACGAAGGCTTTGCTGGTGGATCGCTGTGAGTATCTGGAGTACTACCCGCTGTTGGTATCGCGCGTCCACGAAGTCGGGAAGTTTCGCTTTAATATTCGAAACCGCGAGCTCAAACAATGCTACCGGCGCTTTTTGTGGTATCTCGCGCAAAAATCCCCCCACTTCACCTCAAAGGACTACATCTACCTTTGTACGTATCTTCTCTTCCAGGAGCGTCTGGAGGACTGTCTGTTGGTCTATCCGATGATCGCGAAGGCCCGCGCGGGGACTCCGGGTAAAAAGGACGACGAAGAGCTGCAGCTCCAGTTCGATTACCTCACCGCCTATTTAGATCAATACATCGATTATCCCCAGTTTCAACGCGCCCGGGATATCTGCGTGAAGTACCTGACGTACCCCGTTTTCACCTGGCGAAACCGATTCATCAAGTTGTTTAATCTCATTTCCGAGGTGGACGGGGACGCGGCGAACCTCCCAACGCAAGGCGACCTCAACGCCGATGGGGAGCTCAACCGGATTCAGGCCAACGTCGATCCCTATCTCGCCGCGGCCCTCCATCTCGACGACAACTCCATCAAATTAACTTTACGACGGATCAAGGAATTCACCGTGAGCTTCTACAAGGTCGATATGGAGATCCTTTTCTCGCGGGATCCGTTTCTCTCGATGAGCAACATGGACTACAGCTACGTCCAGGCGAATGTCGTCCACACCCAGCCCATGCCGGAGCCCCTGCAGGCCATGGCGACCCAATCCGTTTTGATCCCGCAGGACTTGCGGGGCAGTAATTTGATCATCCGCGTGCGGTCGGACTCGCAGGTCGTGAACCTGACGTACTTCCCCAAGGCCATGGCGGTCATGGTGAATCGCAATCACGGCCTGGTGCGGGTCTTGGCGGAGGGAAACTACAAACCCCTCTCGGGGGTGTACGTCAAGGCCTTTGCCAAAAACCACAACAATCAGGTGTTCTTCTACAAGGACGGCTATACTGATCTGCGCGGCTGCTTCGAGTATGCTTCTGTCCATACGAATAAGCTGGATGAGTTGAAGGAGTTCAGTTTACTCATCCTCAGCGCCGAGTTTGGCGGTCAAATCGAGCACGTGGGGCCGCCCTCGACTCTTGCATCGATGGACTTCGATACAACGAAGATCGTGTCGGGGTCCATGCAGGCCTTATATAGGAAAAAGGTCCAGGATGCCAGCAGCAAATATTGTATTTAACTTGTTTTATGACTTGAAAAGTATAACCCGATAACATCGACGTGCAAGGCACAACCAAAGTATCTATATATATATTTATTTATTTTTATTTTAGATTATATTTATTTAGTCCCATTTCAACCATTCTGCTTATTTAGATTGTTTAATACATGTATATTAAACTTTTCACCTATAAACTTGAAATATGAAAATTATTTAACTGTTAGCAATAGACCACGAAATCAAATTCAAGTAGGAACAAGGATAGGATTGATTGTATGTTGTCTTTTTTTAGTCAATTGACTAATTTTTGAAAAAAAAAATTGATGAACTTTCTAGTGAAAATGAAATTCACAATCTTTATACTGCAAAAAACACTAAACATCTTTTTTTCCCCCAAACTACACTCTATTCATGTATAAATCCCTTCATCAATCCCCACCTCTTCTTTCAACCCCCAAGTGGGGTCAATGTCTGTCTCCGTGTCATCTCTACTTGATCTCCCACTTTATTTTACTTCCTTTTGTTAGTTCGGTACGTCCAAGTGCGGCTGCCTCAACACCAAACCACCACACCTAAGAGACCCCAGAGTACCCCAGTGTACTTCGGAGTACCCCAGAGACCTTCGAGACCTCAAAGAACTTCAGAGTACTTCAAAGACCTCCGAGTACACTAAAGTACCCCAGAGTATCTCAGAGTACCCAAGAGACCCCTGAGACTCCACTGTACTTCAGTATACCCCAGTGTAGTTCGGTGTACTGCAGTATACTTCAGTGAACTTCCGAGTACTCCAGAGTACTTCAGTATATTTCAGTGAGCCTTCGAGTATCTTCGAGTATTTCCGAGTATTTCGGGGTATTTTCAGGGGTCGTTTGCGGGTCCGGCGACGATGTCGGCGATCGAGCGCGTGTTTGACCTGCCGGCCGGCAGCGAACTGCGCGTCGTGACGTCCGCGGCGCGGGGGCAGGGGGCGGAGGTGGTGCTGGAGGCC